CTTGTAGCTGACGTGAAGGTAGAGCATGAAGCTTGCTTTGTTGTGCAGCTGCATCACTGCATTACCTTCAATTCTAGTACTTAGTGTTTCCTCCGATGATACTGACTCTTCCATTAAACTTTTAACAGCTCTTATCTTATGAAGGTTACTTCAAGTCTCGTGATGCTGTGTGTTGTTTGAACTGCTTCAGAGAAGTTTGTGCACCATGGAATGCATGCTGTACATTGGAGACAAGCCTCAAGTAAAAAAGGACCATTAACACAGTTTCCAGGATTATTCCCTGGGGAAGGCAGCTGGCTCCTTAGCAGAGGATCTGAAGTTGGCACCCTCTCAGAAATTATCCCTTTTAGGTAAAAACAGATTGGCCCCTGACAGTGTCCCATAAATGCTTTAGAGAACTGTCCCCAGAAAGATCAGCAGCAGGGGGGGGTAGCGGTAGTGTCTGTCATGCTGTGCGCTCGTGTTAATTCTGAAACTTCCCAACACAGCAGTGGCAGATGAGCTTTGTCAGAATATCGCTTCGCCATTACTGGTGCCAGCCTCGGCTCAGGGACAAACACCAAAAAGTAAGAAGCATGATTAAAAAAAAAAGAAGTGCTTCATCACCAGGCTGTTTGCTTTCTGATTCATTTATAGGACTACCCGTAGCACTGGGAACAAAATTATATAGCCCTGAGAGCAAAAGATGCAGCCCTGGAACCACTAGCTTTTCATACCTGCACTTGAATGGTTTGGTGAGACCTATCGAGGTAGACCTGCTTTCTTACCCACTCTTGGTAAAGAATTGTTGTGTTTTCTCCCTCCTTGAGACAGACTAAGAGGGAGTCTGATGATGTGGATGTTAGCACTGCTTTCCAGCTCCAACAGCAGCTAAATCCAAACTGTCAGTCACATTCAGTAGCTGTCTGACAGACAGCCTGTTCTGAAAAAAATTAAACCAAAAGTTGGATCACGAGAGGCACTCATTGACAATGTTAGAGTAATATTTAGATATTCTTTTTAGATCACTCTCATGAAAGAGTTATGCCATACACAGTACGTAAGTTTAGCAAAATTCAGGTCTAACCCACTCGGTATCAGTAATGCACAGAAGCAAAAGATTCCCATACTTGTACGCTTCTTGCAAGTGGCATGAGAAGCAAAGCAACCCTTAGGTCATGGTTAAGGGGATGAACGCAATTGATTTTTACCTGAAATTCTGACTCCTCTGGTGTATGGAACTAGCCTGTTCTTCAGGTTCTCCATCCTCTGAGGAATCTGAGGAGGATAATGCCACTGGTACCTTTTGGAGATGGAGTTTAGCAATCTCTAGCAGACACAGGGTAGCTATTACTGTTGGAGGCGATCCACAGTGTGAATGTCCATGTAGGCAAGTGCTTGAAGGAGAAGATTGTTACTGAAGAAGATTGTTCTTCTCTGAGATGTACTGTTTGCATGCACATTCACAGTCCTGAACCTCCAGAAGGATTCCTGGGACACCGATGCTGAGGGGGTCTGGCAGAATGAAGCATGCCCTTCCTTTCTGTGTGTTTGTGCGAACAGGGTGTTTGTCCTACTGGCACTTCTGAGGCAGTGAACTCAGTTTCAGGTGTTTGCGTGCAGATTCCCTCATAAAATAGCAATGTTCGTATGAGTAACATCTCAAAGAATAGTTACAGCCGTGGCTCTGCAGCTGACCAACTCATACCTGTTACATGAACCATTGTTCTCCCTATCTGGTCACTTTTCTACAGTGGGTGCTCCATCCTAAATAGGTACCTCATGCTAGGTGGATCTGTTTTGTTGCCTTGTGTACTAACACGGGATTTTTCCAGCAGTTTATTGAGCAATGTAGAGCAGAGGTGAACCAGAAGTTGTTGGGATTTTGGGTCAGACTCCCAAACACTCTTGTCTACCTCTCTTTGCTTAGGTGTCATTATTTTCAAACTTCTACAGGTTGGTCTGAACAGAATGATATTCTCTGCAAGTATTTGGTGGCTTGTATTTGATCTTGCACAGTCAGACAGCTTCAGCTTTGCAACTGGGCGCTCCGATTTCAAGAATTCCTTGTGCTTGGTGCTGATAGTTAGGAGGAGAAAGAATGTGAATATGTATCATCTGCTACCCTGGGAACAACTGACTGACTCCATTCTTATCCTCACTCCTAGGTCTCCGAGCCCATTTGAAAAAGGAAAAGTTACTTCTTTGTCATGCTTTGAGGTTTGGCTGACGTAGAATCATAGGATCATGGAATGGTTTGGTCGGAACGGACCTTAAAGCCCATCTGGTTCCAACCCCCCTGCCCTGGGCGGGGCCCCCTGCCGCCACACCAGGTTGCTCACAGCCCCATCCAACCTGGCCTTGAACACTCCCAGGGATGGGGCAGCCACAGCTTCTCTGGGCAACCTCTGCCACTGCCTCACCACCCTCACCGGGAAGAATTTCTTCCTGATATCTCATCTAAATCTTCCCTCTTCCAGTTCAAAGCCATCGCCCCTTGTCCTATCACTCCATGCCCTTGTACAAAGTCCCTCCCCAGCTTTCTTGTCGGCCCCTTTAGGTACGGGAAGGCTGCTCTAAGGTCTGTCCGGAGCCCTCTCTTCTCCAGGCTGAACAACCCCAACTCTCTCAGCCATAGGAGAGGTGCTCCAGCCCTCGGATCATCTTCGTGGCCTCCTCTGGACTCGCTCCAAAATGTAGGCATATTCATCCATGTAAATGCAGGCTGGGTCTGGAAGGATTCAAACCCAGAAGCAACTCATCTCTTTTTCTACTTAATGACAATAAAAGATAGGTTTACTCTCATGACCGCTACTGTGAACTTTACTTGTGTTGACATTCCCCCTGTTTATTCTGAGAGATTTTCTTGGCTGTTGCAGTCTTTTTACTAGACAGCTGGCTTGTAGGAAAGAGCTGCTTCAGTGACAGTTCAGCAGCTGCAGAATGACAGCAGAGCATGCCCCCGGGAGATAGTACTGGCTTACGACAAGACCAGCGGCTGTCGAGCAAAACCTGCTGCATGTTATAACCGTGTGCTCGGTGTTGCACAATGTCGGGGAGCACAGGAGTTCTACGATTCTCAGAGTGCTTGGAGCAGCCGGCAAGGCACCTTTACTGACCATGGTCACCGCAGCCAGCGATTAGGTGCACTGTACTCTTGCTTAAAGAATAAAGGATGATTTTTACTTTTTTCGTTGTAAATACATTTCAGTCAATCTGTGCTTATGTTGATTTTGCTTCATGCCTGTTTTATTAACACTTTGTAGGTTACTTCATGAGTAATTAAGGAATATTCTGGAGGTAACTTATGAAGAACTGTGATTACAGGAGCTATACTTTGACTGCATGGGATCAAGCTGGGTTACAGGGCAACCATTTTGGGTATGGTTTAGGGAATTCTTGTTTTCATTTTTTTAAAGTGGAGCTTGTTGAATAACTAACACAAATTGCAGGCAATAATTTCAGGTTTGGAAAACACTTCTATAGAAACTTGATTGGTTTTGTTCTAGCACGATATAATTTAAAAAAACCCCGCACACATTATTTGAATTTACCAAGGTACAAATACCCATGGGGTTATTGCTATGGGGAGTTGTGTAGCAGTGCAAGCTCTAGCATAGCAAATAAAAGCTGTTGATGCCAAAGGCACAACAGTTGCCAGATTATGAAATCCAGAGAAACTTCCTGAAATCGGTTTTGGAACTACCACTAAGAAAGAGTGAACTCAACTCCTGGTCACTGTGTTTTATACCCATATCTTAGGATGTGTTTTCTGCTTGGTTACTGTAAATCCTTAGGACTGGAAGGTCAGAACAAAGCTGTGGGACCACTCCCTGGGCTCGAAGGCTTTTTATCGGGCTTTCCAACATCACCTGATGGCCATGATGCTGCTTCTGTGGAGGAGGTGATGTAGTTGGTAGGGGCGGCTGGTGTCCCAGAGCGTGGCTTTGGGGAGGAGGCAGTTTCACACGGTAGCTGAACCCAGCTAACACCCTGGTAAGCTCTTCCCCACCTAATCTCCCCTCCTGCTGCACCAGCCTCTCTCCCTGCTCTGCACCCTGCCATTCTTTGTTCTGGGATTCACCTGATCACAGGGTAGTGAGCCAGTGCATCTTGCTAACCCAGCAAAAGTGTCCTTTATTTTCTTTTTACCCTCCTAGGCTAATTTTCTGCCATTCTACCAAACTCAGTTACTGTACTGAGATGCCAGAATTGAATCCAGAAGGGCAGCCGCAGAGTGTGGTTGGGGAGAAAAAGTGAGGAGAAGCGAGATCTTCCTATTCGGCAGCAGTGAGCTGCTACCTTGGCCCATGCTATCTCCTGAAACTGCTTAAACATGAATAACCTAAAAGCTTTCTTCAGGCTCTCTGCCACCTGAACTGAAGACCCCTGACGGCTCTGGCACCCAAGGGAGGGGTGTGATGGAGGGCAAAGAGACTGGGTGAGTCCAGGCCAGTGATTTTCCTGTTTGCAGCCTTCTGAGGTTGCTTCAGAGTAGCACTGATCGCTCAAAGACGCTGCTCAGTCACCTCCGTAATTAGGGCAGAGCCCTTCTTGGCTCGTGGCTGGGTTGTTTCTCAACTGCAAGAAACTCTTTCTGCACCTGTTTCATCTGACTTGGTTTCCTTAAGGCCTCTAGGAATTTATCAGCTGGTTTTCCTTTGCGGTCCTGTTGTTTGAGTACACTGAGGGGTTTTTGTGGGTTGGTTTGCCAGGTACTGAGTAAGCGATAAGGGTCTGTATTTCAGAGTTTGGTCTGCTCAGGTCTGGCTAAGAGATGGCCAGCAGTTATTAGTCTGTTTTCAGCTTCCAAGGCATCAAAGGCTCACTTTCTCTCAATTTTCAGATACCATCCTCCTTGCTGGTCCAGAGAGCTGAATGACAGCACTCCGGCCCTCAGTGCTAGCAAGTTGTTTTCCACTAACTTTTCCACATGTGTTGGAAGGCTGATAGGAGGAATCCTGTCCGTATTCCTGGAGCATTGGAGTAGGAAGCAGCTGTCTCTTGTGGAGCAGTGCCCTGGAGGATTCATGCTGTATCATTCCTTTGTACCTCACAGCAGCTGTTTGGCTGGATTTATTTTTGGACAGGAGGGATGCATGTTAGACAGTTTGAAGGAACCAAGTTAGTAATCAATCACATTTGTAACTCAGCTGGAAGTTCTTGCACTGGGGGATGTGTCTGCTGATTGTGTGATGAGAAAGTGAAGACAGCAAAGCAGGGCAGGAGTAATCCTGCCTGAGCTAGATGTCCTGTGTCTTTGGAAAGATAGAGCTACTTCATCCAGAATGAGCAAGAAGGCTGCTTTGTCCTTTGTGAAATGATCAAGCTCTTCCCGTACCTAAGGCTCCTTTTGTACAGATGCACGTAGAGCTTCTGGTGAAGTCAACGCGGTGTTGCAAGAACTGTGCAGGGCCTTGGGGATTTACCCTTCACTTTGCTTCTGTCCTTACTGGTACTTTGCTGACGACAGTCACATACATTCTTCTTCTTAAACAGGGTTTTAAACCAGAGAAGAATTTCTTTGTGCTGCTGTAATCTCCTAATTTGTCCTTATAGTGGGAAAATTCCTGGAAAATATTACAGAGCAGAACAATACATTGCTATGGGATGTGCCTGGTGGTGTTTTAGGAGAACTGTAGCTTCCAGAAAGAGGTGATGTATGTTTGTTACTGAGTGCCGTCAATTTAATCATTCTTTTATTTGCCTTACCCACCAAACAGTTATGTCAGACAGCGCTTTCTGTCTTGAAGTCGCCCCACCAAAAGTGGGGGGCTGATGCTGCTGTTTTGAATATGTAGGGTGGGGTGGGTGAGGAAAGACACCATTCTCAGAGGGGAAATGAGAGTGTAAGAGAGAAATGAGATGAGCAGGTGAAAATCAGGCTGGAAGAGGAGGCATGCTTCTAAAAGTGTGCTGAGAAGACACAGCACCCTGCAAGTGCACAGCGTGGTTCATTTCCAAGCACACAGGGAGACGGGAAGATCTTGGGCTAGTGGCCATGTCTTTTCACCAGTAAGCACTATTAGAAAAAACAGTCATCAGATATGATGCTGTTTAGTACCAATTCCCTGATTTGCTGCTGTTACACTTACAACCTCAACAGAAAGGCTGGATTTGCAGACCCCCATTCTCCTGATCCTCTCGATTAGTCAGAATCTGCACAGTGAAGAGAGTCTGGATTTCAGGTAACATCGTTGACATCTGTTGATGCTGTCCTCAAGTGCCTTCCTCTGGTTTTGCCACAAAGTGGTGACAGCATTCCCAGGCAATATTTTTCTCGGCTCTTTTTCATGTGGATGCATGACATGAGCACAGCTGGGTGCCTGGTGTCCTTCCTTGACTTTCTTGTAAGCTAATCCTGGCTTTTGATCCAGCCTTGCAGACTATGCTAGTTGCGACCTCACTCAGTACTGTACCTGGTGGCAGCCTGCAAATACCCTCACCGAAGTGTTTCTTCACGAGAGCTTTTAAAGCCTATGTGCCTTTCCAGCAGATGGAAAGGTTCAGGATGTCTCTGTAGCTCCAGCTGCGAGCCCGTAGCAGGCAAGATTCACATTGGCGTAAGGTAATCCTAGCTGCAGAGTGCCAATACTGGTTTCCAGGTGTGCACAGAAATGCATGAATCAGTTTTAACTGTGCACCATCACTTCAGTGAAGAGGTGACATCTGGGAGTCATGACCCTCAAGCAGGTAAAAACCAAAGTAAGCCTGGAGGTTGATCCCACAGGATGGAAATCATCAGTGAGGGATAGGTGGAAGACTGGTAAGATGCAGTACGAGTGCACTCAGGTGAATCCTAGCACATTTTAAGCTTATGCTTCTGAGCAAGAACGTACAATGCAGTTTTTGGCTGCTGGTGTGTACTAAGAACTGGTGACCTTAGCATACAAAACTGGAGCTTGTAACAAGCCATATCACTTAAAACTGCAAATTTCTACACAGATTTTATTTTTCCTAGGCTTCATGGAAGAAAACTGAAATGAACAAATATCAAGTAAATAATCTTGAAATTATTGCAGTAGTTCTAATTCCCTGACTAGTGACAATAGAAACTTCGAGTATAAAATTCAGCTGCATAATTCTGCAACCTGATTTCTTTCTGAGACATAATTTCCTCTCATTTTTATTTTACTGACTTTACTTATCATTTGAATTTATACTATAGGGTGTTAAAGTTCCCATTTTCTGTCCTAATCTTTGCAATCCACCAAAGAACTGGCTTGTGCGTTGACTGTATGGTGATGTTGTGCCCCTCACAAAGTTAATTTTGTAATCTTATATTTTAATGATTTAGCCAGTTTTATAACTAGGAGACTGTAATCGGAGGAGTTCTTTTATGCCCGAATAGTAGCAAATATGTGAAAGATCTGCCAACAGCACCTTTACTAGTATAAAAGTATGTGTACGCATGCATACATGTCAACATGGACGCATAAATCTAAGCATCAGCACATGTTATGGAAGAGTGATCCCTGCGTTAGCAATCATGTCTGGTCATGACATTGACAAGCGGGAAGATGAACTCAGCAGAGATTCAATTGTTTATGCTGTTGTTAAAGACCTGTTGTCAGCCTGATAGGTCTGGGGTTTGTGAACAGAAAGGCTTGGGAGTCCCTGCTTTTGAGGGTACTTTCTATGGTTTTAAAAAAAAAAAAGTTTGAGTTGTAACAGTTTTTAAATAATGTATGTATTTCTCAAGGTCCGACAAGAAGTAGTTGAAGAATATGAACAAGTTAAGAGCATTGTCAACACTTTAGAGTGTTTTAAAATGGAGAGACCTGCAGATATCCCTGTATCCTGTCAGGATGAGCCTTTTAGAGATCCCGATGTTTGGCTTCCTCCTGTTCCAGCTGAACACAGGTAATGAGGGTCTCAAGCAGAGTGAGTGGAATAAAGTTGGGTTGCCATAATTCTATGTTGTCTTTTGAATGCATTTGTAACGTGAAAATCGCATTTCATTTACCCCTTAGTAATTTTTAATAAAGAATAAATATAATCATCGGGGAAAAAAGTAATTAAACTACAGTGGGATTTATTGCTGGAGTTCTAAAGAAAGTCACTTCTTTATTCTGGTAGGAGTGACTAGCTAAGTGACTGGAACTAGAGTCTGCGGGAGAGGTAAGTGGGCTTGTGGTGACGGTTGCCGTTCTCATGTGCAGGGAGAAAACTTTTCCATTTCAGTTTATTTAATCAGTTGAATTCATTGATGGCTGAGGAGTCAGTAAGGAGCTGGAACTGAAGGATCTTGAAGGACATGGTGGTTAGAAATCGCTCCCTAGCTACAGATAATGACCTCTGTTTAATCCCTTGGTTAGTTTTATCACTAAACATGTTCTGTTATACATGGTGTTTCTCTTCTGTAACCACCTTTAAAGTAACTTTAGTAAGCTAATAGTTTGCTCAAAATAGATGCTTGGGCATTTTCTGAAATCCTTATTTTTACCCTAATAGAGCTTGACAGAGGTTGTTGGAAACAAATCCAATTTAAAACCAAGAATAACATTTATCATGCCAACATTTTTCTCAAGTTATAATAGCAAACAATTTTAATGTGTGTATACATTACACACAAAGCAAACAAAGTAAAATGAGAGATCTAGGTTAACAGAAAGAAATGCCAAGTTTAATTTTAAATTTATGTGCTTTATGATTATCAAACGAACGGATCTTCGCTTTTCAAAAAATCCCAAGAATGTAAGTATAAAATAGTATTAACGTTGATTACTTTTGTGAGTGGTAGAAAAGATTATCAGAATTTTTGTGGTAAAATTACATGAAGTGCAAGATATATTTATTCTTCTGTCTTTCTTAGAGGTAAAGGCCCAACAGTTCATCTGCTTTTTTACGCTGAAATTTAAATCTTGTGCAAATAAGAAAGGAAAATTAGCCAGTCTTCTATGCTGTTAAGTTTAATGAAAATGTATACAAAGCAAAATGTAGCAGTTGTATCCATCAATGCCTTTCAGTAAGTACTCTTTTTAAACCGTATTCCAGGAAACTGTTTTTGGAGTTAGCAAATTTTAAGGTACTCAAAACAACAATCAATAGAAGATTTATTAGGAAACACTAATTAAAGTTGGGTGACATTCCTGGCTGTTTATTTTAGTTCTATATTTCAAGTCCAATCTCTAGAGCAAAAAGGACTGTGACACCTTGTCTTAAAACCAAATTCTTTCACCTCGTGCCACTGCTAAAGTTCTCTTTGACATCGTGGGTGATGCACGCAATAGGTGGTTGCAGTTCAGCTCTGTTTGCTTTTGCTTTTTAGGCAATTTTTATGTTTTGACATTTTCACACAGGGGAATGAAGTCAGAGGTAGGAGGATTGTTTTAAAATTCTCCCTCCTTTGTTTTGGGGCCTGTCAAAGCTATTAGCCAGCTTTTTTTTTTTTTTTCCTTTTTTTTTTTTTTTTTTAAGCCAGGAAGGTCATCTGGTTGTGTAGAACTTGTGCATATGAATGCAGCCTAATATAATCTCCTGGTCTGGAGTCAGAGGAAACTACAATTTGAAGACTTTTACTAAATTGTTTCCTCTTTTATTACATGCGCATTGGTTTGTTGTAAGATTAGTTAGGAGTACTCATCTAATAGTATTGCTAATTTTCTTTTTCCCCACTGTTGAAACTTCTTTCCTTTTGCATTTTTTTCTTACTTTGGGTGTCAGACAGAACCAGAAATATGTTGCTGGATTTGCAGATGCAGGAAGATAAGACTTAGGGCCTTGTCAGCTTTAGTGATAAGGCACTAAGGGAATTAATGAAATATTCGAATCCTTCCTTCTTTTTGCTGTTTTTAGCATGTTTGTGTTGTGATTGCTTGTTGTTAGGGCTCCACCTCAGATAAAACGTCCCAACCGAGAAGGAAAACCTTTGAGGAAGGAATCACCGGGGCTGCAGCCCCGTGGCCCTGCGGGCAGAGCACACGCGGTATCCAAGGGTGAGAAGTCTGCAGGCAGCCGCGAAAGGGAATCTCGAGCTAGAGGAAGAGATGACAAGGTAAGAAGTAGTAAAGAATGTGCTGGAGAGGAGTCATGATGCAGCAGGTGGCACAGGGAAGCATTCTTAGTTTTAGTTATTTAATACAGATAATAAGAAGAAGCTGCAATAATCCCCTGCAAGAAAACTTGGTGCTTTCCTCTTGCCTCATGGACAAAGCGTGTATCATGGAGATATTTAGTAGTAATGACACCAAATTAAGGAAAGTTCTATCGTGTTTGCTCTGCCTTGATTTGCGATTTTTTGATAGGGAGGAAGCGTGGTGGCCTGTTGCTGGGGGTTTGTTATCATCTCAGTTAGACCATGGGCTTGACTCTGATCTGTCAGTGTCAATCAGGCATAAAGTCCCTTCTTCTTCTCCCCCACTTTTTTTTTTTTTAAAAAAGGAATCCAATTCAGGTCTTTTGTAAAGATTTCAGTGTAAAAAGTGCAAAAGTGAGACCAGTGCCCTTCTCTAGACTTTAGCATTATGAATGGAGTTTCACAGTACCATTGCCTCTGCCATACTATAGTAAAATTCAGGTGTGCCTCGAAGTCCAGGATAGTTCTGTAAATGCATTGATGCTAGGTAAATCTGCACCAAATTATTTGAAGTTATGTATTTGAAAATGATGTGAGGGAGAGGTAGTAAAAGCAAACTCTTAGAAGCTTTCATTTTTAGTTTATGCAAAGGGGTTTGTATTTATTACAGTGTTTAGGAAGATGCTTCTTGGAAAGGCCTTATTTTAAAAATGAGAACAATGAAATAAATTAGAATAAGTTGGAGATTCTTTCCTCTGAAGACCCATGAAAAAGAAGCAGTGCTGAAATGAAAGGAAAGGAGAAACTGATTCACTGTCAAGTAGTCATGTCAAAAGCAGGACTGTTTCCTGGCTGAAAAAAATGTCTGTGTGCAAATTACTGTTTCTGAGACACTTGCATTTTTAAATTTAACTGTGGAGTCAGTGCCAAGAACCCAAGAAATCTTGGTATAAAGGATAACAAGTCGAGAGTGTACTGAAGCGGCTTTACTTTCCTGACAGACAGAGATATGAGAAACCCCTTCTGATGGGGGCACACAGTATTGTACAGAACTTGATAGATGAATAAGAAAATATTTAGGCCAGTGTTCTTCCAAATGAATGTGGTTAGTCCCTTCGTGGCCTTTCTATTACAGATTGCTTCTTCACAGCGCAGAAAGAGCTCAAAGATACGCTTTTTCCATCATGATTTGCTTTTCTGATACACAGGAAAAGTATCGAGTAATCCCAGCCCTTATTACCATCAGTAGGTAGGGCCAGGCGCATTTTCAGCAGTGCCACTGAATGACTGCACAGACCAAGCATTTTAGAAATCTCTCTACCCTGCATCAGTAAGACTTAAAATAACAAGAGTGCATCCTGCAAGCTATAAAAAGCTTGTGAAGATCTGTGAAATTATTTACAGTTCTGCCAGCTATACGGGGAATTGGAGTTGTGGTGTGTGATAGGTTCACCAGATGTGCTGGTGTAAGGCAGCCTTCAAAGTCTTGGCTCTAATGAGGGTGAACTCTGCTCTCGAAGCTTTCCGGTGATGAGCATTTTTGGGCTTTACTATAAGGAGCCCACAACAACATAACTCGTACAATACTTCTGGGATTAGCGGCACTACCGCTGTGAGGCGGAGGAAGAGTCATGAAGGTGTTCCATTTATTATGGTACATATTAAATGCTACTTTTATCTGAATAAATTGGTCACTAGGTGGCAGAAGGAAAATATGTCTACTCTTCAAAAAATACCAATACATGTGCTCTTGTTTCCCCCTTTGTCTTACTACTTGGTGGTTATTTTATTTCCTTTGTTTGAGGTGTGTATGCAAAAATCGCACCAGGTTACAAATTCTCACATGTTATGTGATGACTTTTGTAAGGGATCCACAATTTTCCTTTGAAGAAAATTTTGAATGAAAAGCAAGTAGTGAGGCGTGGGAAGTGAAAGAAGTTAATGCAATTTTCCATGTTTTACACACAGGCATGAAAATAGGTCTCACTTCCCTTTCAGTTTTGTCCTTTCTTAGTTTGCAAGTGTTTATGTTCTTCGGTTTCTGAACTTAAAGCTACAAGAAGCTTAGCTCTGTAGCGTAGTGTGTCGAATCACAGAGGTTTGGTAACTCTTCATGTTCAGTTAAAAATAATAGGGCAAAACTGAAGCTTCAGACTAAGTAACCAGGTATCTCTTTTCTCAGAGTAAATGTTTCAGCTGTATAGTTCTTGGGTTTGGGCGCTTGGCTAGGACTACTTAGAACATGTAATGAACTTGGATGCCATATCCATTTCCTAAGATGTTGGTTGTTGTGTAATAGGTTGTATGCTGTCCTGGCTATAATATCACAATGTAATATGCATATTTATTTGTGATATTTTTCAAGATAAATACAGGTATAGTATATATGTTTTAGAAGTGTTTTGCCTCAGTTGAGGTAAATGCCTTCTTTCATCGTTTGTCCTCCCCAGATCATACCATCTTTTCATTCTGACAGTAACCATCTTGGGGTAAGGAGTTTTAACCTGATTGTGCCTGTAAAATGACCTTTTGTATTGCTATATAAAATAATTTTGAACTGCAGCCACTAAACTAATCCGCTAAACCCGTATATTTACGTGTTCCTTTTTCTAAAATACTGCTTTCAAGTGCTTCTTCCTTCTTAGTTCCACTGGAAACTCTTAGGTTTGTTCTCAGGGTACCTTCTGCTGGATCATTGCCAAGAATTTTAGCTTCTCTTCAATAGTTCACCTTAAAGAGGCAGCACGAATGCTACCTGTATGTCTTTTAGAAATTGCAGAATATCATATCTAAGCCCTAGAACACTTTTTTAGGAGTACTCTTCAGATTATTTTAGATTGTCAGTGGATAAGGATAGTAAATATTGCAAAGGATATGAAATAGCCAAGGGCTGTGCTGTCGTATCAGTGAAGAGAGTATTAAAATTGATGAAGATACGACTTAAAAAATTTAAATTTTTTTTGCTTGATTATTCTGATGGGCGTCATCAGATGTGAGACGAGGTAGTCACATTTAGGTGGAAGCACAGACAGACCTCCATGCATTGAGACTGGAAGGCTGCATAATCTCTATCCGCGAACGCTGAAAGAATTGGTAGGTGAAATTACAGGGACGGGAGCAGAGATTTCCCATAACATTTATTGGGTCTGCTGTTGTCTCATGTGAATGGTGACTTGTGTTGACCGTGCCTGTATTTAGAAGGGGAAAGGAAAAGTGATGCAGGCAACTCGAGTTGTTAATTTTATCTAAACAATGTGCAACATTTTACAACAGATTTAGAATGGACGAAAAGTTAAAGACTTGGGACTAACTGGAAAGTGGAATAAAGTGAAATATGGTTTCTCAAGCAAAGGTCTTGCCTTTGCCAGCACCTTCTTTAGAGTTCCAGTTAATGTCTTAGAGAAAGACATTAATCTACCTGGATGCCACATGGGAAGCAATCAGTTAATCTAGTGTGTGGCGTAGAAGAATGGTAAGGTGGGGAAGAATTAGGCAGCAAGGGGAATGTAAACAAGTGGTACTGAAAGAAAAAGTATCAGTCAACTGGCAAATCATTTATGGATTTCCTCAAGACTAGAGACTGACTCTTGTTTTCTATTTAAATTAATGATCTTGGCACAAAAAAGAGGCATGCGCTAATTAAATTTGCCGATGACACCGAGTTGGGAAGCACCATCACCACAAGAGGCGAACGAGGCTGTTGTACAGCAAGAATTAGGTGACTCTGTGCTGGAGTCATGACAATGGGATAATTTTCAGCGGTGCAGAGCAGCAGGCTGCGTACTTGGAGGCTACAACAAGAATTTCTGCTAGAAGCTGGAGCTCAGCAGTGGAAGAGAAGAAAGATTTGGACGTATCAGCAGAAATCGGATCAGGCTGAACTTTCATTTGGCACATCACCTTTTCCTGGCGGGGATGGGAAGGGCTGGTTGCCGGAGGGAGGCACAGCCAGGTGCCACGTTTGGCTTTGGCAGCAAGGGGCATAGAGTGCGCATCTGGCAGTTGTTGTTTGGTGTCTGTGTGTCGTGGGAAGAGCCTGCAGGAAAGCAGGATGTCTTCAGGACTCAGTGATCCTACGTGATTGATCTGTCTGAGGTTGAGTGTAAGGTGACCGTATGATACAGGCACGTAAAGGAATGGAAATGAAATCCTAGGCCCGGTGTGTTGAGGTGTTACCAGCAGAGAGAAGAGATGCCCGTGCCAGTACAGGAGACCCTGGTGGGACAGCAGCTGGAGTATTTGGCATGCATTTCTACAACCTTGCTCAAGAAAGATGTGTTAATATTAGAAGGGAGAAAAAAAAAAAAGGTTGCTGAAGTGAACAGGTAATTGTGTTCAGCTTGTGTTCCAAGAGGAGACTGACTTGGTTTGCTAAATGAAGGCAGAGCACACACATGCTACAAGTGCATCAGGTTGGTGGACACATCAACGAGACAACCGCTGAAGCTAGTGCACGAACTTAGTACAAGAGTAGAAATACATTCATTTTGGAAGTAAGGTTTTGTTTCAGTGGATTAGTGCAGGTCTGATAGCTCTTCCTGTTGGAAGTCTCAGCAAATTTCTAAATGTGTTTAAGTCAGACCTTGGTTGGCTGAGGAGAAGGTTACGTGATGAGATTGCCAAGGGGACTGGGTGGGAGCAGTCTTTTACAGTCCTGTATTCCTCTATCTGTTGGCATACCTTCTTAGAGAGAAGCCATCACAGCAGCTTTATTTAAAGCTGTTTTGGGAAAGTAGTACCACAAGAAGAGATGAGGTTATGACTGGAAAAATTATGCTTACTCCTGCTGCCTGGATTCAGGTGATATTTTTTTAAATTATTTTTTCTAGTCCCTGCTCACTTGCTTGCTGACTGAGGATTGCATCTTGGACCAGTTTGGGACCAACATTAATAATCTTATTACATGTGAAAACTGTAATCTTGGTTTAATTCCAGAACTGGGAAAAAAAAAAAATCGAAACATTCAGTGTCACTAAAATGATAGCCAAGGTGATGCCATCTGCCAGATGCCCTTCTCCCTCTGTTGGCGAGCCATGTCGCAGGGAGCAGGAAAAATAACTGTCCCAGGAAAAAGTGAGTATCCCAGGACCAGGTAGTTATTACATGTGAAAACTGTAATCTTGGTTTAATTCCAGAACTGGGAAAAAAAAAAAATCGAAACATTCAGTGTCACTAAAATGATAGCCAAGGTGATGCCATCTGCCAGATGCCCTTCTCCCTCTGTTGGCGAGCCATGTCGCAGGGAGCAGGAAAAATAACTGTCCCAGGAAAAAGTGAGTATCCCAGGACCAGGTAGCTGGGGTTTTGGGGCTCGGCCCTGGATGCAGCCGGCAAGGAGGTAGCTGTGGAGATGCCGCTGCCCCGCCTGTGCCCCACCCATGCCCCGCCGTGCTGCCGCCCCAGAGCTGCGCCGGAGCTGCCGGTGCCCTCCTTGCCACCGGGCCTTTCTTTCCCCTTTTATTTCTGTTTCTTTCCACTTCTTTGAGTGATGCTTTCCATGTCACACCTGGGCCTGGTGTTGCCCGCGTTGCCTGATTCGCGTGTTCACCGCCTTTCTGACACAGCAAACAGGCTGCACGCAGATCTTGAGCTCTGCACAGTGCTCTGCAGCGATCCGCCCTGCCTTCCCCCGCTTTTTAAAGCCTGCCTTATCTCTGTTTCACCCAGAAAAAACAGAACATCCGATTTGTTTTGAGATGGGCAGAAAAATTCTTCCACTAGGAAAACCAGTGCATTGCAGAGGGGCAGGAGAGAAGTGTGTAACAAAGACAGACAGCAAATACCTTTCATTTCACTGTATGGTGTTTTTTTTTCCCTTCTTTCTTTTTTTATGGTTACATTTGGATTCCATTTTCTCTCTCCTGAAATCTTCCAAACTCTACAGGGCTTTTTTCTCTGTTTCCTTTTTACTCCAGACCATTACATTTTTGACACCAGCTTTTTGTCTAAACACAACTTTCAGCTTCATTTCCATTGCAAAAAAAACTGATCTGGGAGTACTAAACAACACAGAGTTCACTTTGGAAGCAAGAAATAAAAATAACGGGAAGATAAACTGCTCCTTCACAGGCCTCGTGGGCAAACAGCAACTAGGCGGGGTGTAATCACTACCTTTTTCTTTTTCCACTGCGAGGTTATTTGTGTGTCTCCAGCTGCTGCTTAGCCCGCCTTTGCCTAGGCTGCTTTTGTCCCGCCAGCTGGGATTCTTTAACTTGCTGCTGGTAGCATTTAGAAGCTGAGTTAAGAGTCCTAAAGTAGCTCCCTACTCAGCCTCCTTCGTTAAAACAGGGCAGCTGTAAATCCAAACGCTGATGTGGAGCCGGGAGGGGAAACCGTTTCCTTCTGAAGTGGGAGAGGAGGAGCGTGAGCCCTGATGCTTCAAAGGGAAAATGTTACTTCAACCCCGTAAGCTTAACGGCACCGTGGAAGTATTAACCAAAACTCTGGTCCGTTTGGGGCTTGGTTGCTGAATGGGGCATTGGCGTGCTGCAGAAATTATTGTAGTTCAAAGAAGCCTGGGTGACTTGGGAGCTTCTCTAGGGCTTTTGGTGCAGCCCTTAAATAAATACGACCTTTTAAAAGCATTTTAACTGTTTATGGGACTGGCCTGTGAACGAGAAGAGGGGAATAGATAGTTTGCAGTTGAGGAAAGGAGAAATTGCTGGGCAGGAAGGCTTTAATTAAACAAGAGGAGAGAATCTCCTTGGTTTTCCTTCATCAAAGACAATGAGTGTAGCTGCTTTTGTGTTCCTTTTCAGTGATGATGGGGTGCCAGTTGTTTAGCTCTGGCAGGTAGTGTGGCAGGTGTAGCATCTTCAAAATATGCTTTGGATGCTGTGGTCTTCAGTCAGGAGTTAATATAGCATTAAATCGTGACGCAGCCTGCTTTGCGAGGCTGTTTCTGCATTCATGCCTTCGGTTGCCCGGGAAGTGTGTCAGTTGTCTAAAGAGTGGTTTAGCACTGTTCAGAGTCAGGTTTGCTGCTTTAAAACCAACCAACTAACCAACTCGCCCACCCACCGTGATATGTCATGAGCTCTGATGGGGTTTGATCACTGCGAGCTGCATCTATGAAGGAAGCATGGTGCTGTTGCGGTGGACGCAACCACAGGTGTCTGGGGACTCTGAGGAGTGTAGGGTGTGAACACATTGGGTTTGCTGGCCGTCGTGGTGCTGAGGTAGTTGTGTTAAAGCTGGATACCTTCCTGTGGCTTCTACAGAAGTGAACCAGACAATATTGCTATGTATTGCTAGTAAAGGATATGTTGAAAGAATAAGGTCCTTATAAGCCTGTATGACTTTCATAAAGAAAATACCCCAGGAAGTTGGTGATGGGGAAATTCCAAAATTTGATGGAGCAGGTTACGACAAAGACTTGGTCGAAGCTCTTGAAAGGGACATTGTATCAAGGAATCCAAGCATTCATTGGTATGAGGATTTTCTCAATCGAAGTGCTTTTGCTAGTGTGGAGAAGGGCAGAAGTTATCCTTCTTCTAACTCTTAAAACAGGGAGCCATCATAATCTTCTACAGATAAGCAAAACAAGGTCTTTTGATTTTAACAGTTTATCAATTTGATTACAGTTAAGCTTTTGTTGCTAAGTGATATTGCAGTACATCCATTACAGGTACTGCTGAAATGAAAGTACACTCCAGAGAACTTTAAAAATACCGCTTTGGTGTTCACATTGTCCAAAACAATTTTTAATTAAGCAGCTCTGGGTAACTTGAGTTGAAAATAATTTTTTCCCTACCTTCCAAAAGTGGATTCAATTTTAGGTCACAGGATTATAGGAGTGCTCTCATGAGGCATATACTAGCATGCTAAAAGAGATGGTACTAAGTGAAAAGCTTTCCTCTTTTTCTTGTATGAAAATAGAAGAAATATTGTTGTACGGGAATCTTATATGAGTTTCTTCATCTTGCACAGGGATGACATAGCAGATTTGGAGGAAGCCAAGAAATTATTAAGAGAAGCTGTCGTTCTTCCAATGTGGATGCCTGATTTTTTCAAAGGGATCAGAAGACCTTGGAAGGTGAGAATTCATTTGGTGTTTTAGTAAACGGCAAGCTGTAGTTATGTATGTCTGCTGCAGTAATGTGTGTGGATGCCTGTAGCAGCAGGCTAAAAAGGCAAATGGGAAAGATCAGGAATTTGTTCATAAAATCCTCTCATAATGATTTATGTAAAATGCACTGAAAGAAACAGCTGGAAGTGTATGCGAGCTTTACAGTAAATAGTAATTCTTTTGTATTTACTCAGTCATAGCTTGTTGACCTTATAATACTTTCTATATGTCAGCCTGTACATGTGAGCAAGCCTATAGGGTATATTCATAGAAGCCGAAATGCTTAGTCGACAGCTCTGCTTAGGATTATGGTGGCCACTCTTCAACACTTCATGGAGGAAAGCCGTCCTTGGACTGTTTTATTCTGCGTGTGCCATCAATCTCTCACTCAGACTGCAAACTGCAGGCCGGATGGTGCAAGGAAGCAAGGAGGGAGGGGGGCTAATCTGAGTGATGATTTAGCTTTGCAGTTACACTTGCAGCAGGGCACAGTTACTGCTGGAGTGGGAGAAATTCAAAGTGGGAGAATGAGATGGAAGTGGGGCAACAGGAGGGATGTAGGACTGAGCTGGCCTGGCTCATGGAGCCCAATCTGGGCCTTGCTTAGAGCTAAAAAGGAAGAGGAGGGAGGAGGATGCTGAGCGTTTCTGTAAACAGAAAATAAAATTATCTTGCTTCTGTTGTGGGATGGATTGACACTTGCTTTGGGAATAACTAGTCACAACACAAGGGCTTTCTGGTTACTGAGAAGGATTACTGGGGAAAAGAGGCTGTTGCAAATTGTCTGTTATTCTGAGTATGCAAGGTAATGGCACGCGTAGGGAATGCTGTGTACCTGAGTAGTTTCTGTGGTTTAGGGTGCTTGTTCAGCAGTCTACGTCAAATCTTGCGTTACTAACGCTTGCCCTGTCTGTTCCTGTTTGGTCCTTGTACTTCTCTGGCTTATACTTAGGTCTGACCCTCAAAGCTGTTCTCCTCCAACCTGAGCCAGTCCTAGATCCCCGCTATTCTGCTTATTTACCAAACAAAGCCCTGCGGGAACTGATGAGTGGCAGACTTGTCATTCTTGGGGCTTGTGTCTACAGACAGGAAAGAGGGGAAGTCAGAAAGAGTGGGAGGTGATGGCGGGAGCTGGGAGATTGTTTCCTAAGGGCTGTTCATGGGGGTTTTAGTGAGTTGCAGGGGCGGCAGCCCAAACCTGGAGGCAGCCCAAACCTAACCCCAGGCTATATGACCTGTGGGGTTTAGAGTGCTTGTGGTCAGTACTAGTGGCCTTGAGGTAGACCTTAAGGATAACCGAGCTATCAGCTTGGACAGAGCCTAGATATCGTGGGTTACAAGTGTAGGGTGAGATTTTAATGTCTTTTGAACAGCCAAATCTCTTTCTTTTCCTCTTGGCATAGAGGAAGTTGATCCATACCCTTATTTTAGACTGTGGGGCCCTGTCTGTCCAGTCTTCAAAACAGGGTGACGAGCTGCTACACCTGCAGACTGCAGGGAACATGAAGAGTGCCACTGGCGTTGTCTCCAAGTGTTGTGGCAGTGGATAAAAAACAGCCTTGTTTTTTAAAGAAAGAATTACAGTCTCCATCTCTTTGCGTGAGATTATCTTTTCCTACTGAGCAGCGTCCCCTCTGAGAACTAGGTGGCTGTAGACATGGAAAAAAATTCTAAGATTATTTCCTCTCTTCAGTCTGAAATGCAAATTGATTTCTGACGAGTCTATGAAGAGCCTTCATTGTTAGCCTTTTCCCTGGTGACTTGTGAAGCTGTAACTCTCCTGAATTTATTTTTCACACAGAACAGCATGTATTTTCCCCACTGTTGACCTCTGACTGTGCTACAAGGATGAGAAGTTTTGAAGGGAAGACTGTTTCTTGCAGTAATCAGTGTAGCAGCAGGCATTTGTTGAGCCTAGGCATTCAGGACAATAATTCAGGGAAAAGGCAGCCAAATCTGGTTTTGGATGTTCAAACTCTCCTGAGAACAATTCCCAAGACAGCCCTCACAGTGTGCGCCTGCATTCAGAGGACGGTGCCTTGTATGAAGGAGCCAGCTGTCTTCCCTGATTCAACACAGGTGCTGTGTCGTTGCAGCCGTGGGTTTCGGAGCGTCCACGGGCTTGCTCTTTCTTTTTCTCCAAACTGTTTTGTGCCAGGAAGGCCTGGTTGCTCGCTGTGCTTCCCACTGCTCTGCTAGTGATTGTTACAACAACAAGAAGTAACCCTGCAGTGATTTCATCAAAACAGTTACTCCCTGCGGTGCATTTCAGCTTCTTATAGGAATACTTTGGATTAACAGAGCCTTAGAGGAAGAATAAAGAAGTCTTTGTGTTTGTCAAGTAGTAAGTGGCAGCCTCCTGGTTTGCAGAGAGAAAGAGCAACTTGATCCTATGTGTTTCTGTTTGCAGCCATGCACATCTTGTTTTACTGAGAACTCAAGCTTTTTTTTTAAAAAAAAAAACCCTGATATTTCTATCATCTTCATCCCCAGAGAGCTTGGTTTTCCCCTGGCTTTACACCTGGTGTGGCTGCTTTGCACCTGTGTTACGCACATATATGATGCTGCCCATATCACGTGCAAGGTAACGCTCGCTATAATAGTTACAAAGGAGGTGCAAAGCGATGGGCTTCGGTTTCGGCAGTGAGCGGCATGTGTAACTGAAGCCAGAATTTGACCTTCCATAATAATGGAAAACCAAAGCAATATCCAAAAAATGACATTAGTCCCTTGTATCACCAGGTCCTGCATTAAACATAGTTTGTCGAACACAGGAATCAAGTGTGCTTTGAATTGAGGTGCAGCTTGTTTTAAAATATTAAATAAACACATTTGAAGCTAAAAGAGAACAGTAAGTCATCTATCACAGACTGAGTAATTTTCACCCAGTCACTCCAGGGTTGTACTCCCAGTATTATTATAACATCAGCATGACTCTGCAGCAACTCAAATTGCAGTGTATGTCTGAATGTTCATGGGGAGAAAAGGAGTCCATTTACTTTTTATGCTTCCTGCTCTGGAGCTTAGGAAACCTTGGGCAGCCTGAGGAGTGACATTGGACTGTTAGCTGTTTGGATGGTGTGTGAACGTTTCTAACTTAATTTACCGATGAATGTATGTTGAGCTTGCATTAGCTAAGTGTTAAATGGCAATAAAGGTATTAAGAGTTAATGGAAAATGGAGTACAGAGAGGCTATTGCTTTTGAATAGTACATTTTTGAATAATTGCATTCCCGGTTGATTTGTTTTTATAGATCTCTTCCATGTCATTCTTTGTGCTTTTTGAAGTAAATTTTTGTGAGGAACAGATGAAATCTAATTTGCGATGTGGCTTGCATTTAACGTATTTTATTGCTGTGGCATTTTATGTAAGTTATTAATTGCAAAGCACATTATGATGTGCAATTCTAATTCTAGCTGATTTGATTACCCCTGCAACACAGTGCAACTTTACTTTAGGAAACTCTTGTTAGGATGTAATAAGATTTTGCAGTTGGGAGAGGAAAAAAAACAAAGCTGCTTGAGCACTACGTTTTCATAGTGCCATACTTAAAATCACAGTGCCCTGTTCTGGTGCCATGCAGGCATGGAACAGTGTGGTGTCCCTCTCTGGCACTACTGCCAAAAGGATTGGAAAGACTATCCATAAAGATAACTGTATTTAGAAATATTATCAAGAGTGGTTAACCAGTCTCAGTGCTACAATCTTAACGTGGGTCCTGAGAGCACTGTGTGTCTAGCTAAAAACCCGCTTGCATAACGATGGGTAAATGTGCTGAGCTACAGAGAAGTGTGCTCCTTACTCTCTTTTTTGGGTAGACCACAGATGGAAAGACAGTCTGATGATGTGGATGCCAACGTAGGACTTAACAATTGTAGTTCAGTTTTCTAGTTTAAAGCTTTCTGAATAATCCCTGAAGTTCATATTAGGCTTTTGTGGGACTGAGCCGTAGTCCACGTGAGCCACATTTGCTTATCTGTGAAACAGAAATAGCAGTGCTTTTCTGTCATCCAACAGTGTGGTGAGGATGGTGTTTCATCCGGGAATTGCTAAGATGCAGTAGTATGGCTGTGGAAGTACTGAGATGGAGAGATTAAACGGTATGACAAAGCGTTGTATTCAGTAAATATTCTTGTGGATTCTTAAGCGTACAAATCAACCAGATTCATACGTACACATCGTCAGGACTTTTTGGCAAAATGCCAGAAAACACTGTACTGAGGGAACACAACTTTCTGGAAAAGTATTTTGGTTTCTATGAAGCTTTCTTTGTGAAGGGACCTTTGTTCCCAAAAGAAGAATTCATTGTCTTCATCTGCCTGTGCAGCCCCTCATGAGATGGAAAGGCCTAAGTTCAAGTCCAGGCTCCGTCTGATTCAGAGCAAGGCTGTAAATCTGTTGTCTGCTTCCCGGGTGATAGGTGCAGCAACAGTTACTGGCTTTTGTGATTCCGTCTCCAGTGGAGTGGTAGGAAAAAAATCACAGAACACTTCCACGCTGTTCTCGAAAGCAGGATTCTTGTCTTTCGTTTTCCGCTGATGACAATTATGTTATTAAACAATTTAAATACAGATCTTGGATCATATGGAGATGTAGTGTAGAGTACCAATTGCAAAGTTTCTTTATTTGTTGTTCATTACCTTTGTTTTCACCTTTCAGGGCGTGCTGATGGTTGGTCCTCCTGGCACTGGCAAAACAATGCTAGCAAAAGCTGTTGCTACAGAATGTGGAACAACATTTTTCAACGTGTCTTCCTCTACCCTGACGTCTAAATACAGAGGCGAGTCTGAGAAGCTGGTCCGCCTCTTGTTTGAAATGGTATGTCCTTGATGATATGATCTGGGGATCACGAAGGTGAGAAAGGACATCTCTCTTGGTTTCCTGCCCCTCCAGTAGCATGTTGGAAGTATGGAGTTCATTGAACTGACACCCCCTCAACCAGTTAGAAAAACATAATCTCTGTCTTTCTATCCTTTTCTGGTGTGTTGTTGGGGATTAGGAAGCAAATGGTTCATCACCCGTGTTTAAGATAGCATTTTCCAGACTAAACGTAGTGTTGTGACCTTGGCAGAAATTCAGTTCTTATTCGGTTATGGGGTAACAAGCCCATAGGAAGTAGACTTGAAGTTGGAAGGGATTTGGAACTGTTATTCTAGAAGCAATACATGTTTTTGTTCTGTTTCTATTCTGAATGATGGACACAAGCCTCTCAGTGAAGTTGTGGGTTTGGTCCGTCATGGGGTATGTGAAGGACGTGCCCATGTGGACCTATACTGAAGAGTCGTTCACCTCTTTGGGATCCTCATTGCACTTCTAGAATACTCTCAGTTAAAACCTGTCTTTGCTGAGGTAGGCTGAGCTCCCTTCTGTCCTCTATGCATACCCCTCACCAACAAAAAAACCCTGGACATAAAAACTGCCTGCATTTGGATTGTCTTCCTTTTCTCCTTTGCAAGACTGGTTGCTGAGGAAAGCCAACCAACACTGAAAGACCCCTGACTCAAGGAGTAGAATTTAAAGTGTATAACCTTCAGCATATGCCAGACAGTTTATAAATCAGTATCTTGAATTATTTTCTTGTGACAGGCGGGGAAGATATGTACGTAGTATGTCTAGTGGGACTGGGTTGTGGTCTGATGAGGGCCTGTGCTTGCTGCCGCAGCCTTAATAGTGATGTTTTCATTTGAATAAAGGCGAGGTTTTACGCTCCAACAACAATCTTCATTGATGAGATAGATTCCATCTGCAGCCGTAGAGGCACGTCTGACGAACACGAGGCGAGTCGGAGAGTCAAGTCAGAGCTGCTTGTGCAAATGGACGGTAACAAGCGTTTAGATCCAAGTTTGGGGCTGCGGTGCTGTTTCTTTACAGGTGGGAATGTAAAAACTCGAGCAATCTGGAAAACCTGGCTTTACGGGTAAGGGAAAAATAAGGTAGAATTTGAGGGTAGTGTATTTTTGGAGTGTTTGAAGGCAGGGAACTGAAAAGGGTGTTCTGCTTTATTTTTTCTAAAATGGCCATTTTGATGGTAAATTAAAACTCATGTTTAAGAGACATAGACTCTAGGGGAAGCAGATAATGGAGCTTTGTGCAGTTTAATACAGGTCTTTAATGTTCATGCATTTTAAAGAAATTTCTCCCCTTTGCTAGAGTCTCCAGCTTGGTGACCCCACTGTGAGATCTGATTTTGCCGTATTCTGTGGTGGCAGCTAATATTACCCTTTTAGTCAGATTTAGTACCTGTTCCGTGCAGGTGCACGTGACGAGGATGACCATCTGAGGCATATTGTTTGGCGTAGTGGTTTGATAACCACCTCTGTATTGCAGCTATTGTTTCGCTACTATTTATAATGTCCTCAAATGTCCAAGTTCATTATGGTAAACTCAGGGTAGGCAACTTTTTGCCCCAAAGTGATAATTTCTTTGCAGTCCTTATTTGGGAGGTCACAGAGTGATTCCTATTTCTTCCATAGCCAGACTTGACAGAGATAGCACTTTCGGTGGGACTAGTGGGGCTACACTCACATGCCACTGTGTTATTAGCACTGTCAAAGAAAGCCCTCCCCTGACTCAGCAAAAGAATGAACTGTCCCCCTCTCTGTGACAAGGATGGTCTTGTCACACCTAAGCTATGGGAAATTTGGAAAGGGGCACGAGGGCTATATAGAGCTGTTGCTTAGCTTTGTCCAGGCTTTTGCAGTGTTTATCTGTGCAGTGTTTCTTAGCAAGCGTCTCAATCAATAAGAGCTGTGGCGTGAAATTGCTCTAAACTGTTATGCTTGCAGGGGTAGGTGGTGCTCTGGAAAATGATGACCCTTCCAAGATGGTTATGGTATTAGCTGCTACAAATTTTCCCTGGGATATTGATGAAGCTCTCCGGCGGAGACTGGAGAAGAGGATTTATATATCTTTGCCGACAGGTATGTTTGCTACGAGCATTTTCCTTTAAAATGGCCTTTGCAAGACGAGCTTAGGATTACTGCAGGACTGTTGGGTTTGGGAGGAATCTTGATGTTTTAGTGATGAGCACTGAAATTCAGGGGTTAATCGTTCGGCTGGGTCGCTTTATTTTTAAAGAGAGTGAGAGAAAGAAAAAAAAAAACACAACTACTTGCTTGGGGGCTTAAAAACAAAGAGCTGCGGCATTTTATTGCAAGCCCATTGGTGGGTTCTTACATTTTGAAAGAGAGTTAGTTTTAATGAGCCTGGAATTATTTTAAACGTTTAACAGTCAATCCTTGAGTGATCATCAAAGGCAGCCTTTGGACATGTTCAGAAACATTGTGAATGCACTCCGTGCCCTTGCAGACAAATGCAAAGAAGTGGATCCGTGAATTTTCACTTACAGGCTTAGTTCATTCTAAATCACTGCTTGCTTGCCTTTATGACTGTGCTTCGAGTCACTCAGAATGCAGCAGGCTGATTGCTGCCCGAAGACGTCTCGCTTTGTATTGTCTTTCCTAGCTGTCATTCACCTGTCCTATTAATTTTGAGATTCCTATCACTTGAAGTTTGCGTAGCTTCATTTTTTCTTGGTACAGTGGGTGCCTCATCTCCCTGCATGAGCAGTCAAGATAACAAGATGCGTGTTCATGGTGACAGCAGTTGTGATTGAGTTTAGCAGGTATAAGGACATTTAATAGTTCTACAGCTTGTCGTTGCAGCTTACAGGCGCTAACAGCTCCTAACAGGATGCCTGTCTTTATGACCAATTAGTTTAAAATCCTCTCAGCTCTTGCTCTTGTTTCTAATTAAACCATATTGTTTTTTTGACACAGTGTATTACACCCTGGACAACATATGAGATGTGCTATGGTTTTATTTCCAATCTTATGTTCTGTTGCATCTATTCTGTAAATAAGAATGTCGAGCTGTTCTGGGCAAGTCTAAATGGTGCATTTATAACTGTGCTGTGTGATTTGATGTGTTCAGGCATTTTAATTGAAAAAGTGATATGATATGTCATATATACCTGTATATTGTAGAATTTGATGCAAGTATATGTTCTACCGTGTTTCATTTTCAAAATACTGCAAGGACTTGCTTAGCCCCATAGCAAAGATTAGAAGAATGTTCTCTGATACAGGACACTCTCTGCAGGTAATGCCGTATGTACATTGTGCTCTGTAAACAATAAATCCCCATTTTATAGCTAGTGCCAGTTGTGTGTGATTGATAACTCTGTACTCTTGACAGTTCTGCAAAGCACACAAAACCAGCAGCTTTAGACAAGCTTTCTAATTCCTTTTATATTTCCCCTCCCCCCAAATTTAAAAAAAAATAATAATCGGGGACATCAATAAATAAAACATAAATGTGGACATTTCCTTAAGACTTTTAGCCTTCCCTACTGCTGCTACTTCTGTTGTGGCTGTCCTCTTTTTTAGGTCATAAAAATTGGTCACTGGGGAAATAAAGATGCTGAGCTGGTAGATTTTTCTGTATGGTAAAAACCAGGAAAGCATTCATCCTCTTCCTTACCACCCTTGTGCAGAGTAACACTGGGGCCTAAGCTGTCAGATGTGAATTCCCCCTTATAAGCCTAGGCTGCTTAACATGTGTACCCAAATGCACATATGCACATGCCCTCTACAGGAAAAACGGTTAGTGGGCTGCAGAAGTGCTCATTTACACGGCTGGTTATCGCTGTGCGCACACTGCATCTAGGTCTGAAAGTGGGATACCTAGACATTTGTATTGTAAATATATTAATATATGTTTACTGTATTAATGTATCTGTTTTCTATCAGGCTTCAGCAGCTTTCTTGGGTCCCAACTGAGTACAGTGCTTAAACATATGCTTAAAGTTCAGCCTATTGTTAAGGGGCTTGTGCGGTCTGAAGCTCTGTTAATAGAATCCTCATTGTGGTTCTAATGAAACTGTGTAAATAATACGCAATCAAACACTTGAACAGCGAGTGAATCCAAAGGGATGTGAGAAGAAGCAGACGTTTGTAGGATTGTGCTTTTGTGCCCTTGGGTAGTATGTGACTAAATGCTTTGCCACCTGAGACATAACAGACATTTTTAATGACGTATGACTTTGGAAAATGTCTCTAGAGCATGCTGTTTTAATATACTGCTTTTAACCGTATACTGTACTGTACTTGATTGCACACTTTACTATGATTTGTTCTGTCTCTTTCCTTTTCTTACCTTAAACCCTTGTGTTTGTTTCTCTGAAAAATCTAGGTTGTGTTTATATCTTTTTTTCAATGTTACTCCTGCAAGTCTTCAAACAAGTATTTTTATGTTGTAGCAAAAGGCAGAGCAGAACTACTTAAGATTAATCTTCGGGAAGTAGAACTGGATCCTGATATCAGCCTTGAAGAAATTGCTGAGAAGATTGAAGGCTATTCTGGTGCTGACATCACTAATGTTTGCAGGTATCTTGTTCCCCTTAATTTGCAAATAAAACTGCGTAGGAAGTCATCATTTGCATTATGTGATAAAAGGCAATACCCTCTGCAGCTGAAGCCATGCTAACACTGACTGTGTTTGAGGCCCAAATCTATTTACTGGAACGATGGGTTACTGTCCTGTGGAGCAGTCTAAAGACCATGGAGTCTTTCTGTGAGATGTGGTTAAGTTTTCTTGGATCTGCAGAGAAAAAAATTCTCTGAGCAAATCTCATGTTACCGTTGGCTGCATTTACGGCATTTGTCTGCATTTGTTAAAAGTAGTGCAGAACAGGTTTGGATTTATTTTTTTTTAAATCCCCTTAGTTTAAGAGCTAGAATTTTGTGACGCAGAGGAACTTTTCACAGAATACTTCTTTGGGGCCTCTGTGTCCTGTATGTTTGGACAGCCCCCAGTGTAGTGCGGTCTTGGTTTCTGCCTGAATCTTCTAGGTGCAAGGTTGATACAGATAGTTTATAGCATTAGTATTGAATTTATTTCCATCCTGTTCCCACAATTTGTTTCATTTTTTGACAAATGAGTCTTTTCTGGTGGAGGATATGTATTTGAAAAAACTTATTGGAAGGAAATCTATGTCCCTGCCAAGAGAAACTGATCCTTTAACAACATGGCTTGGGATTATTTCTTTTCTTCCCCTGCTGCTTTGCTGAAATTGTGAAATGACTCCATCGTTTTGAAAACTTGGTGTGTGTCATGCAGTGCAATAGTTAAATTACCTGTTCTCCCTGGGGCCTGTGTTATCCCTTGCTGGGA